CTTTCATTCATAAATTGTATTCTTGGATGAAAATTTTCTCGTCCTTGCTAATAATGTATGAGAATTACTGAGTATGATCAAATTGATTTTCCTAATTTTTTAACATCTTATCATATAAATGGCTATTTAATACTTCAGGGGCTTGGAGGCACATAGTTTTGATTATCTCAAAACAGATGGATCTAGAATGTCAAATAATAATTATAATAATACTTTTATTTTTCAAATTAATACTTTAATGAATAAAGGATACTCTTGGAAGACCCTGAAAGTCTTTTGATTATATATTAAAAAAAATACCTGTCATATTTAAGGTGGCTACTTTTTTACTCTTCTTTATTTTTTGCAGTTTAATATTTCATTTTATGGCCATATATTTATTGTCTCAATTTCAAACTCATATGACCTTTTCACCCAGATTAATTAGATGGTATTGCAAAGGCAGAACATTAGCTTCTTATGAAAACCAGTGTCATCCAATCACTTTTCCAAAGATAAAACACAATTCACTTAAATCATTTGCTTGCTTGCCAATCTGCTGCTTACAGTAAGACACATGCAAGGACATGCTAGGCAGAAATAGTCAAACTATTTTACCAAATCTGTTGTGCTTTAGCATAAGATGAAATACAGTGGAAATACAATAAAATATTCTTTTTTACAATTCTTTGTTTAAGAATTATTGTTAAGGTAAATAGATATTTTGAAAAAAATAACTGTGATAATTGTTACTTAAAATAATATAAGAATATTAAATAAACATTTATGTTGTTGAATAGGAAATATATTACAAGTCAATACGTATTTAAGTATAGTTATAAAAAATCCATAACTATATCTAATCTATTTCTAGATTAGATCTTAAAGGATTCGTATTTCTTGGTAAACATGTTGCTTATACTGGAAAGCAGTGATCACTTAGTGCAGACCAGCCTTCCCCAGCCATCTGATGTCTTGAATGTTTGTTTGATTACAGCTCCCAAAATTTCCAGTTAGCACTTGATGGACTCTGGCCCTTAATTCCCAGGTTTGGCTATTCTGTCTTGAAATTTTGGAAAGGAAGATAACACATTGAACACATTTAATATGGATGATACAGAGTGATCTGATATACTTATACTTCTTATGTGATTGTTTTATGTATGATTGATACACATCATATCTCATTAGTACACCTTGGAAAGATTCCTTCCAGTAATGACATTAGGCAACATTTGATCCATTGCAAAACTAAGCTGAAATGATAGAATGATAACCTTCTGCTCATATTGAAATTGCTAGTGGCACTTGGTATTTTGAAAATGTAGTTTTCTACGTAAGATTATCTGGGACACTACACATCCTCTTCACTACCTGTTTTCCTTGTTACCTTCTGGGAGGAGGCTTCGTGGTATTCTAAGCAGAACATCCAGATTCAGCCAGAGTTTCATTCCATACAGCATTAATCTTGCAAACTCTCAAGCTTCCTCCTTCCATTATATATTCAAGATGGACAATATTTAATATTTATTTGCTATGTATATGTAGGGATGTGGGTCTATACATATGTTGTTCATAGTATGTTTAGGTGTGTGTCATGTATGTGTTTCACTTTGAGAGCGGGCAACTAAATTTCATTTTTGATGTGTGCCATTGTGCCCACAGTATAAAAATGACAATAAAGGTTATCTTATCTTATCTTATCTTATCTTATCTTATCTTATCTTATCTTATCTTATCTTATCTTATCTTATCTTATCTTATATAATGATTTTAGCATCACTGCCAGTTAATGATTTAAGAACGTGTTGGGTCAATTAATGTTAGTGTTGCTATTTTTCTGCTACATGAGATTGAAAAAATGGTTTGTCAAAAACTTGGCAGGCTAAAATAATTGACTTGGTTGGCTTGGTAGATCACTAATGGTGGAGACCTGATTTACAAAGAATCAATTAAAGATGGATTTTCAGAGTATTGTTTGTCTCTGAGTTTAGAATTTGAATCCAAAAGCACATTTATGAATTGATGTTTTGTTGAATGGAATTTTCACGAGTTTAATGTGAAAAGATTGGGGTTTCCAAACAGTTTGGATCTTAGGACACAGTAGTTAGGAGAGATAAATGCAGTATGTAGTGATTATTGCAATAAAATTAATTACAGGAAAGTATATTCAATTATTTTAAAAAGCATTGTGGTTTTAATTGACAAGCAGTTAATAGGACCTGACATGCAAGACAAAAGAATTAGTAAATAAATTCTGGTGAGGCCCTTATAATTTTATGAAAATATGTAAATTATAAACAGTTGTTTATAAACTATATATTACATATAACATAAATGTTGGATAAAACCTGTAGAACAATTATGACACAAATGGAGTACGTGCCCTTTTAAATCCAACTTAAAAATGCTGGGAAATGCTGAGAAACATAACAAAAAGTTTACATCTTTGTGTTCAAACAACTGTAAACTGGTATTTAGCTATTTATTTAGGCAACAAAAATGTATCGGATTTTGTTGCCAGTTCTAGATGACATCACATCATTATCATCCTCTACTATTATCTCAGTTGAACAGCTAAAGTGATGTATATCTGGCTGAACTCTGGGTCAAGAAGACTTGCCAACACATCTTTCTGAAACTGATCCAGGCTGGAGCTCCATGAATTTGGGCATGGATAAGCCATTTCTCATTGACAGAATGCTTACCTCATTTAATCTCCAAGCCATTGGATTTCTCCTTTCCCTGCTGCTAAGATGCAATATACCATAGTATCAGGTACCAGGCTTCCAAAATAGAGTGGAGGGATGACGTTAAACTCTTCAATATACAACTATAATGGAGCCTGCCATTATGGTTGCATATTGTAATGAGACTCACCTGTTTTACAACATTTTTGTGCTTTAAGCAAAAGTGACAATTGTAAGGTGAATGCCATAGAAGTAAAGCAAACCAATAGTTTGTTATAGATGTGGTTTTGTCAAAAATCAGAAGCGCCAATTTTCAACAAAACCATCATAAAATGCTGCCATGTAGCCACAAACGTCTGCAAATGGCTGTAAATATAGCTGTGTTGCCGAATTTCCAAAGTTTGGTCACCTGACTGTGGAGGGGATCTTGCTGTCGGAACTTGAAATTCTGGTTCATAAGTTCCCTTTTTCAGGTCTGTTATAACTTTAGCCATTTAGTGAGCAGACATAAGTCAAGCAACTCCACAAGCAATTGCATCAACAGACACATTAACCTGCAACCAGCCTATGAGCCCCTCAGAATTCAGAACAACCACATAGCCAACCAGAGACAGCACTGACCCAAAATCAACCCACACAAGCCCTCTCCCCCCAGTTGTTCACCTCCCAATGCGCCTGACCTGACGTAACCTCCCCATAACAAGATCCATCACAAGCCCTTCAATGATGACTCACACCTGACCTATCACAAGAAATCACAAGACCGTCACTTGACACACCCATATCTGAAGCCCTTATAAACAGAAGAAAACTGACACTGACATCCTCTAAACTCCACTGAAGATTTTACCTAGCCTGGTAACGAAAGGTTCAGAAACCGATCCACAAGCTCGGAGAACGAATCTTTACCTTCATCCTACACCCAAGCTACAGATATTCTATTGCAAATTTAACATGATATTTGGAACAAAATACCATTCACATTTGTCATGATGATAACTTCCACTGCAACATATATGCCATACACATCAATCAATATAAGTTCTGATTGTAGTTGGGGATTCCTCTTTCCCCCTGAAATAAATTCACCCAAATATTTTGTATCCTTTTTTTCTAATATGTGTTACTTGTAAAATATATATCTTTTGTTAAATAATAAAATATTATAACCCTAGTAATATTATATAATATTATAACCCCTGAGGGAATAGAAGAAGAATTCATCAAATTTGAACATGACACTAAGCTGGCAGGAATAGCCAACACTCCAGAAGACAAGCTCAGGAGACAGACTTGACAGACTTGAACAATGGGCCCTATCCAACAACATGAAATGTAATGTGGAGAAAAGCAAAGTTTTACACTGGCAGGAAAAACCAAAGGTACCAGTACAGATTAGGAGAAACCTGGCTCAAAAACAGTAACTGTGAGAGGGACCTTGGAGTCCTAGTGGATGATCATTTAAACATGAGTCAGCAGTGTGTGGCGGCAGACAAAAAAGCTAATACAATCCTTGGTTGTATAAACAGAAGCATAGAATCAAATCAGATGAAGTATTAGTACCGCTTTATAAAACCTTAGTAAGACCACACCTGGAATACTGCATCCAGTTTTGGTCACCACATTACAAAAAAGATGTTGAGACTTTGGAAAAAGTGCAACTAAGATGATTAAAGGTCTGGAGATTAAAACATATGAAGAACGGTTGCAGGATTCGGGTTTGGCTAGTCTAGAGAAAAGAAGGACTAGGAGGGACATGATGGCAATATTCCAGTATTTGAGAAGTTGCCACAAAGAGGAGGTGGGTCAACTTATTTTGCAAAGCACCAGAGGGCAGGACAAGAAACAATGGATGGAAATTAATCAAGGAGAAAAGCAAACTGGAATTAAGGAGAAATTTCCTAACAGTGAGGACAATTAACCAGTGGAACAGCTTGCCATCAGAAGTTGTAGGTGCTTCATCATTAGAGGTTTTTAAGACGAGACTGAACAGTCACTTGTCTGAAATGGTATAGGGTGTCCTGTGTGAGCAGGGGATTGGACTAGAAGACTTACAAGGTCCCTTCCAGCTCTATTCTGATTGGTTGATTGATTCCAAATGTGAAAATATTTCATTTACAATAAGAAACATAAAAGATAGACTCCCTCCTACTTTTTTCTGTCCTTAATGTGTTTATATCAAATGACACTTTGTAGATATGTATATTATTTACTATAACTATAAAAAGGTTGCAAATTCTACTGTTTTTAATTCTCATAAATCCTTACCATTATTTACATTTAATTTTCATGCAGGTGGTTGACCAGATTGATACACTCACTTCTGATCTGCAGCTGGAAGATGAGATGACTGACAGCTCAAAAACAGACACATTGAATAGCAGTTCAAGTAGCACAACAGCATCTAGTTTGGAAAAAATAAAGGTTCAAGGCAGTGCTCCACTCATCAGGGCTCCGCACCATCCATCTGCTATTCTAACAGTATTAAGGAAACCCAATCCCCCACCACCTCCTCCACGGCTGACTCCAGTGAAGTGTGAAGACACCCACAGGCCAATTATCTCTGACAATCCTGTAAAGACTAATGGGACTCTGCTACGAAATGGAGGCTTACCAGGAGGACCTAATAAAATTCCAAATGGAGATACGTATGGTATATCAAATAATAATTTGGACAAAGTTCCGATGCAACCTCTTATTCACAGATCTGAGAAAGACAGATGTCCTCAGGCTGGAACACGGGAGCGGGTACGATTTAATGAAAAGGTGCAGTACCATGGCTATTGTGCTGATTGTGACGTGCGGTATAATATTAAAAACAGGGAGGTTCATTTGCACAATGAGCCTGCTCACATCCCAGGAAAACCTCCTCAACAGTGTCCTCCCTTACCACCACCTCCTTCACCACTTCCTCCTCCCCCATTAGAAAATGGAGGGGTGGGCATATGTCCCAGTAATAGCTTTCCCCCTCTCAGACCTGCAACTGTGCCTCCACCAACTGCACCAAAACCCCAAAAGACCATCCTGAGAAAATCAACCACAACAACAGTGTGATTTTTCCCACCTGGAAAACTGTTTTTGCTTTTGTTTTTTCTTATGTACAAACATTGAAAAAAGGTAAAGAGCACTTTCTACAAAAGCAATAAAAAGCCCAAATATATTGCACCCTTTTGTTCTGTGAAGTGGCAAAAAATTACCTGGTAAGTAGAAAGAAAATAGTTTAATGTTGTTAATACAAAAGTCCAATATTTAACGGTTGAAAACTGGTGTAACATTATACGTATGTATGTATGTACATATGGATGTATGAAAAAGATTTATATAGCTACCTTGAGCAACTCTGGGCACCTCATGATAACAATTTTGAGTACTAATTATTTCTGGTACTTATTAAGGATATCACAGTTGTGGTACAAGCAATTCTCTGGGAAACTATAGATGTGAGAACCAATTAGGAGTGAAGTCTAATCTATAGAAAACAATGTGTACTGTACAATAGTTTTTATAGCATGTGATACTTTTAAAGATATTTTTTGGAATATAATTAGTGATTAATCAGAATTAATTAAGAACATTTGAGTAGTAGTTTCAATAGAAAGTTTTACTCCCAATGAAGAAATGTCCTAAAGTGTTATATTCCAAAATATTTTCTGCATCCAGGAAAATGAGTGCACAAAACAAAGTAATTCCTCAGAAGGCAGTGTTGGAGGACATCAACATCTGCTGCCATTCTGAAAACATGACATAATTTTTATTTGCTAATTGTAGGTCATACAAAAGACTTCAGTTTTTGCTTGTAACAATTCAGTTGAGAACCTTAGGAATTTTGCCATAAATTACTTTTTTACTAATTAATTGCTTAAACACTTGAAAAAGTTATTAACAATATTAAAAAAACATTGAAAATTAAATATTTGAATTCTGGAGATATTTTCCCATCTCCCAATCTTGATAACATGCTTGATTTTCTCAGTTACTGCAAAGGGTCTTCTGATATTTAGAAACATTATAAATAATACTTATTTAAGCAGATTGGAAGAAAAAGATTAAATCAGCGAAATCATCTTATGATAAGCTTTTTGTTTTTCAAACAATCTTGCATATTAGACATTTTGTTTGAATCTTTTTTATTGAAACCTTGTGTCATGGTTCTGATAGATGAAACCCATTAAAGAACTTCAAGGCAAGAATTCTTCCTTAAAGAACATTTTATTCAGGAAACAAAGTATCGGCACTACATAGTTGAACCCAAAACTAAATTCCCTTCCCCCAGATACAAAGTAACAAGTTGCAATTCCCACCCCTATAAAGCAGTCATGAATCACATTCTCCAATTAGCCTGAAGCGTGGGCTCCCTCTCCAGCTCCTCAGCCCGCCAAAATGTTATCGGTTTGTGTCCTTGAGTTCCCATGAAGCTGCATTATTGTTATGGCTAGTTGAGCTCAAGCATTCACCCCATCCCCCTTTCTACATCTGATTTCTAAACAGCAGAAAAAGCAAGCTGTAAGCAGAGTAAAAATGGCTGCAATTTCCCTCAGTTGTCAGAATGGGAACATCCATTGTCACAGCTTTGACACCTTGGAGCTTACTTGCTTGCTTTTCTGTTAAGCCTTGGCACCCATTCATGACCATCTTTGAGGAGCTGTTCAAGGCAGCAATTGCTTTGAGAGATCTCATGCAGGTGGTATGCACCAATGCACAATCCATAAAAATATATATGTGGGCTTATTTTGGCGGTACGGCTTATATTAGGCCCACCCCAAAAATCAAGCTACGTCTTATTTTCGGGTAGGCCTTACTTTTGGGGAAACACGGTGTGTGTGTGTGTGTGTGTGTGTACACACACACACACACACACACATAGCTGAGCTGTATAAGAATGTTTTCATTAGATTCCTTTTAAAGTTGATGAAAAATTTTCAAATGGAAAATTCAGCCTTAGTATCAGAGGCAAGTAATGTGAAGAATGTATTGTGGGAAAAATGATGTGGAAGATATGGAAGAAAAAACATTTAAGTGAAAGTTCAATAAAAGCAGGAACAGTAATATTAGTAGTTTATGAAAAAAATAAAGAAGATAGTTTGATTTCTCACAAAATGGATGGATTTTGATGATACAAAAAAGGAAGATGTAGAAGCTGATTACGGTACAAAGTGCCACAGAGGTGTAGATAGTCCTCATTTAGTACCTACAAGTGGGACTGGCAACTCAGTTCTTAAGCAAAACAATCACTAAATGACGTTTACATTGCAGATCTGCAAAGATTTTTAATGCAATGATTAGCTGTGAAGCTAATTTGTAACTGCAAACAGTCACTAAATGGGGAAGTTGCTAAATGAAGACTATCTGTATATGCGAATTAAAGATATTATACAAAATATGAATAGAGGAAAAAAGTCTGTCTGTCTGTCTCTGTCTCTCTCTCTCTGTGCATGTTTGTGTGTGTGTGTGCAAATAATGGGTGAAGAAAGCTAAACAAAAGCTTTCCAATAGAATGAATGGGATCCAAAATATTAAGTGATACCATTTGGAATGAAACTGAAGCAAGAGACCATTGGAAGGAATATTTTAGATCTGGGAAAGATAGAGATATGTTGAATTAAAACAAGGGCTTAAAATGTTCATGCACTGAAAAAGAAACAGTAAATGCTGTAAGAATGGAGAAGAAGGGTAACAGCAGGTATAGATGGTATGATTGAAGAAATGTTAAAACAGGGATGTGGTTTGTTACTGGAGAGGCTACATAAATCCTTCAATATCTGTATGAAAACTAAATCTGTTTGCTGATTGAAAGAATGCCAGTATTGTTCCGCCATGAAAAGGAAAAGAGGAATATAAAAACTGAAGGGAGATTAATTTGTTGTCTGGATCTGGGAAAGTGTATTCAGATAGAAAGGGTAT